GTCTTAATAGTATTCTGGTGGATTGTGGAGAGAGAGTGTTATGATTGGTTGGTTTACCCCTGTTTCTGATTGGTGGAGAGATTTCCTGTAGATTCAACCAATGGTAGCCACAGGTTACTCACCTCTAATCTGGAATCTGTTTAGTGAAGGTTTAATTTTGTTAATGTAAAATTATTCGTTAATTTTTCTTGTCTTCCAAAATTTGTCTGATAATTCTAGTTCTTTCCCAGTTTATTTTGTGTCCAGTTGACATGGCATGTTCTGCAATGGCTGAATTTTGTATTTTCATGAGTCTTCTTCCCGGTTCTCCAATGTATGTTTCATTGAAGGAACAATGAGTTTGGTATGACTCCCATGGTACTTCCCATCATAGTAGGTTAGGTTGTCAGATGGTTAGCTGGATTTGTAGAGTGCTGGACAACTTCAGGTGATACAGCAGTAATGGTAATAGGTGCAGACCAAATAAGTTCTTCTCTGACACCACACAGTTAATAATATAAATTTCTTTGTTTGATCAACTATTAAATACATTTTAATGTTCTTATATGATTGACAAAAATATTACTATGAAAATAATATAACTAAAAAATAGTTATGATGCAGTTTTCATAATTTCACACTTTATAAAAACTTTTCTACCTGAAAGAGAATAACATTGAAAAAATACACTATGGGTAGCATTCCATGTTCAAAAAAGGTTTTTTTGTAGGTAACGTCTAAAATTACCAACATTACTTTCAGCCAGAAACTTACTGGACACATTCTGATTATCAGAAAATATTCTAATGATATATCAACTTTACACAATGACTAAAATCAAGTTTCTGTTAATAGGATCTATAAGTAAGTTAAATAAACATATAGAATTTTCAAACTTAGACAAAATGAAATGGTTTTACAATGTTATTTTTTCTTTTATCAAGCTTATAACAGATTCCTCTGACTAAAACATTATAATTACTGGATTCAGTATGCTAACTTAAAAGATAGGAGGTTCTTTACAACCCAAGTCCTAGACTTTGGAAGATGGCAAATGGTCAGAAAATCAAATCCCCAGAAATCAAGTACTTCAGTAGACACTTAATACATCTTAAAACACTATTCTGTACAAACTGTTTTCAAGCATTACTCAGAGTATATATTTAAAGAACCAGAATGATAACAAACACTGGTCAGTTAGGAAGCTTCTTGTTGCTTCATATTATATAAACTGTTCTCTCCAACCATTTTTAGATCAAAGTAGAATAGTCAGCCCAGTGTAACCGGGTACCTTAACTCAATTAGTGACTGTGGTTACATTCGGCTGACTATTCTACTTTGGTGTTCATTGAACTACTGAATGTGGTTAGACTGGGCTGTCTTCCTGGTTGTGATTCAACTGCTGAATGTGGTTACACTGGGCTGATTGCTTTAGTGTTGATCTAACTGTTGAATGCAGGGGAAGGGTTAATAATAAAATCCTATTAATAAGCTCTATCTTCTTCATCTATTTCACATAAATCCTTATCAGGAACTTAATTCAGGGCTCTAAATATGGTAGAAAGAACATTGCAAAAGGAGGTACTTAATAATAACTTCTACCATCCTCACCTACTTCATGTTTGAAAGAACAAGGTTATTAATTATGTAATTTTGTATAGATGGTGAGAATAAGGAATTATGTTGAATTCTAAATCCTACACTTCTCATTTTGATTCCATTGAAAACTTGAATGACTACAATATCCGAGGGTTAGATCATCTTTCTATCTTAAGCAGATATGAATTTACAGCAACTTGTTTTGTATACTAAATTTTACCCTAAAATTTTTAATAACCATTTACCAGGGCTATATTCCAGGTGATACCTTCCCCTGTACTTTTAACTTACAATTATGCTCACAGTACAAGCAAGATTTCTTCACAGTGTGTTACCTCTCATTTACTTAACCCTATATTAGTACCATTGGTTTGCTGGACAACATTAGTATCACAGGGTTGGGTCGCACCTCAACCACAAAAAAATTGATAACAAATACGATTTATTATTATAAATAAAATATGTCTGTGTATATTTGTTAGTTAAGTATCTTGTGAATGATTCCTTAGCATTTTGCTTAATCTTTAAAATATGGGTAGTTTTAATAGAGGAATAATGAAATGTTTACAAAAAAAATTTCACATTTTATTAAACAAACAAAAAACATCATTATAAAAGTAAAGTAAATATGTTTTTAACTAAACATCTTAACTTTCTCTACATGAGCTCAGACAATTTGACTGACCACATGACTTCTTTGTACTCATTGAAAGTCATAATTTTGATACTACTAACTTTCAATACAGTATGTATATCTTCAAAAAATTTAGCAGACTTTCAGTAAACATTGTAAGTCTTTCACATACAAAAATATTTTTAGTGATGTAATTTTAATAAACTAAAAAAAAAGAGTTGTCTGTGAATATATTGAGTATGTTTTTTGACTAGTCCTCGTGCAAAGTGATTTTCATGTTCAGATTAAAAATACTTTTCTTCATCTCAAGTTTCATTTGCGTAATCTATAAAACCTCCTAAATACATTTCAAATGTTTGTTTTCAGTAAAACATAATATTTTATCTGTTATTTTCTATAACCTAATTTTATACAAGGTTGACCAGCCTCGTAACCACCAAAAAAAATAAATAAAAAATTGAAATAAATCTAAAATACCTTTTTTCCTTCTAGAATAACTTCAAATTTTAACATGAAACTACATTCGTTTATCCTAAGTAACTTTAAACCTGTAACAATATACATCTATTTATACTTAAATTTTATTGTTTTATTGTCCTTTGATTTCCCTTTGAACCATGTGTAACTACTACTATTCATACCATTATAAGTTGTAAATCACTTGGGGAACATGTAGTTCACGCTACACTATCAAATTACATTACCCACGAGCTACTCCAAGCTGCTCTCCTGCGTGCTTGTGAAATATTGTTATTACATTATTATTATTTATTTTACCTAATCTAACCTTAACTAACCTAAAGAGATTCCTATTTTTACATTTAAGTTACTTTTATAGTAATAAATAAAGAATAAACATGAAAAACAGGAAGTAAAGAACTTACCTGGGTCTTCTTTTTTCCCCTGTTGACTGTTGATGACACTTAACCCTACTTTTATATAATTATAGTAGTAATGCACTCAATAATTTTTATTTAATTAAATAATGCAACAAAGAACATAAAATATTAACATGCAAAAAGCACACAATTTTCCCTAACTATCACAATTTTTCTGGCTTTCTAACTATGCGACAAGAGCCATTACAATTCATCCAAACTAGTTATTATCTTTCCTGTGGGAACAAAGCTTGTACTAACAAAGAAAATGACAATTCTTTGTTCAAAAAACAATGTAATATAATATGTCATTTGATAGATGAAATCCTTGGCTTTCTATTGGTTATACAAAATGTATTATTAAGAGTACAAGAGAACTATTAACAAGTCCTGAAAGAGAGGATGTGACAGGTGGGTGTAGCAAAAGGGGTCTGATTTTCTATTTGATAGCTCTGTAACCAAACAACATTGAAGGCTATAAAAATTATGGTTTGTCTGAAGAATGGCAATTTTATAGCAAGTAACTTACGTTAAATTTTTATTTATTGGAAGGGTGGAGAATGAAATAGAAAAAGTGGGAATGACTACAGAAAATATGTCACATTTCTCACACTAGGGGAAATTCAGGATTTTTTTAAATATTGCCTTATAAAATTAAGAACTTAAAACTGATATACTATTAAAATATGTAATATTAGCTATGAGACACAGAAGAGCCTGACTAAGTTGTTCGATTATATTGATTATATTGAAAGCATTTTCATTGACTTTAATGAACTAATGATGGTTTTTGTTCAAAATAACTCTTAACCCTTCTACAGGCTTCCTTTAATGTGCATGTCACAAGGTTTTAGCGACTTACATACAAAATTTAATTAAGCTACTTTTGTTTATATTATACCAATTAGTATAGCATAAAATGATTCCCTATCTTGACAATGAAAGCACAGAACACTATAATGATCACGACAAACATGCATACCACATTTACTACAAGTTGTCTTCACTTTACGATCATTCTTTCTTTCACAGAAATTACACCGGTGTTTTTTCCCTGTTTTGGGTGGTTGCACTGAAGGCCCTGCTTCACATGAGAATCCTTCAATTTTGCTTCTCAGTTCTTTCTTTAGGTTTTTCAACTCCAGTCTTTTCTTGATATAGTCTTCAATTAGCTCCAGGGCTATTTTCTTGATCAACAATCTATGACTGAGCTTGTTCTGAGGATTGTGTGAGTAGATGACATAAGAATTAATAGTTGAAATATTCATGAGCATGAAAAACACTGTCAGGGGCCAACGTCTGCTATTTCGTGAAGTGTTGTATAATGCTGATAGCTGATCAGCCATGTTGACCCCTCCTTTAGTCTTGTCGTAAAATGTTATAATTTCTGGTTTTTTCTTAGCACCAGTATCTGGATCAATTTTTGAATCATGATGCATGCTGCTGACAAGAAGAACATGTTTCCGTTTCTTATGGATGTAGGACACCAGTGTTACATCCTTTTGGAAACCAAACATACTGTCGTGTACAGGTCGATTTTTGATTTCCAAAAAAGCTCCAGGAATCTCCTGTTTGTTCTTCCTTATCACGCCCACGATTGTCAAGTTATGGTTCTTCTTTAAGTCTTGTACAAGCCCATAGCTCGTGAACCAGTTGTCCATTGTTACATTTCTTCCTGTACCTGAGATGGGAGAAATCAGCCTGGTGACCACTGCTGTAGGAGAATTGTTTACTTGGTATGGTCCAGCTGGTTGCTTACCTGCATAAATTTCCATTTTGGACACATAATACGTTTCTGCATCAGCTAATGCAAATATCTTTATCCCATACTTTGCAGGTTTAGTCGGCATATATTGTCTAAATGGACACTTTCCCCTGAAACCTACCAGCATTTCATCAATGGTAACATGAGCTGAGTGAGAGTAATTCACAGCACAATTTCCAACAAACTTTTCAAAAACATCTCTGATTGGTGCTAATTTATCAGCTGACCTGCGATCATGACGTGTCACTTTTTCATCAAAATGGAGACAAGCCAGGAGAAATCTAAAACGGTGCAGAGACATTGTTGTTCGGAAAATTTCCACACCTGTGCCATCACTGTTCCACAGGTCATCCAAATTCATTCTGTTGCTGTGAAAAATACCTGTTAACAATATTAACCCCAGTAAAGCTTTCATTTCCTCAACATTTGTTAATCTTGCTTTACTCTTTTGTGTGTATTTCACTCTCTCCTCATTGATGTACAGGTTCGTGTTTGTCACTAAAATATCCACAATTTCCTGAGTCACAAATAGAGACCAAAATTCATAAGGTGTTTGTGCTTTTAGTGCTAACCCTTTTGGCCCTGGATGCCATGTGTATATATTATGTGCAGGAGTGTGCATAGTGGAAGGGTGTTCCCGTTTCTCCCACTTTGTAACTTTATCCTTGCCAAACCATGCTGTTTGAAGTCTTGCTTTCTTCTGTACTGGTTGTTGTGGTGGTGGTTCTTCATCTGACATCTCACTTTCACTGTAGTCGGATGCTGAAATGTGCGAGGTTTCTTCAATCTCATCATACTCACTCTCACTAGAATTTCCAAGTTCAATGTCATGGGGACATGCTTCTAACATCTGCTTAATCTTCTCACTTTCAGTGTTGCTGTCCATCCTCAATGTAGAAAAAAAAAAAAACTTAAAATTTCATAAAAAAAAACATTACTGAGACAAATATTTCTTCATATTCGGTATAAATTAGCTCTAGAAACACTAACTGAATCAAGAATAACACCAAAATTAAGATTCATGATGTTAGTCCTAATAGAAATGAATAAAAACCCTATAACCCGAGCATTTTCGAAAGGTGGGCTTTCTTCTTCAGGGGCAGTTTAGTGATGTCATGAAGGTCATCCGGTTTTACAGGAAATGTTTAGTCTATTTCTCTATGTACTGTTGTAAGCATCTCATTTACGGTACAATGTAGCTGAAAAGGTGTTAGGCACATTTTACTTTAGAAATGGCTAAATATATGTATATTTAAAACTATACTTAAGTGTTTAAGTAAAATAAAGGTGACACCTGGAGATTGATTGAAAAAGACATGATATGCTAATCAAATAATAAAAAAAAAAAACAGGGATGAAAAATTATCTTAAATAAATAGTAAGTTTTAGGAAATTCAGCATTCACATTACATGAAAAAAATAAGCAAAGAATAAAAATTATTTTTCTGACAGAGATGAAACCGGTGAACGGAGATCATTGATTCCAGGATCTAGATTAATTTCAAAATGTTGAACAGTGTTTAGATTAGCAATCCAATAAGCTTCTTATATTTCTTTATTTGCTTTAGTTTTGAATCCTGTTTTAATGCCAATGAAAGTAACATTGTTAATGGAATGACCGGGTTAGTTAAAGTGTTGAGCAACAGGGAGATCTTTTTCTGTGTTAATAGAAGATTTATGGTTGTTGAAACATTCTCTACGAGTTCTTTGTGTATGTCCTACATATAGGTGATTGCATTTTTTTTTACAATGTATAAGGTAAATGGTGTTTTTTGTTTCACAAGTGATTTCTTTGGATATTTTACAGTTTCTTTTATTGTGTTTGTCAGAAAATGGTTTTTAATGAACTTGCAGATTTAACAACGGGTTTTATTGCATGGACGACAACCATTTTTGGGTGAGATGTAATTCACTTTTTGTGTGAACAAGGATATCATTTACAGTTCTGCATTTTGGAAGGAGACAATGGGAACAGAAATAAAGATATAGGCTTTCCCAGAAATGCACCTTGATTTAGTACTGTGGGGTGTTTGAGCATCAGAGAAAGAACAAAACACATGTTGCTCTCAACATGGTTGAAGTAGACACAGAAGGAACTAGGTTCGCACTCTATCAAGGACTTGGGGAAGGTACTGTGAACAACAAGTGCTTCAGTGCTACCATCTCTTAGTGATGATGTTAACAAACATACTTGGGATTCGAAAACACCTCATGTGACTAACGGAGGGTTAATGTCCCAATTTAATTCACACATTTTGCTACACACTAGACAGCCATAAGGTTCCTCACCAGTATGTTTTCTTTGATGTCTTTTTAATCAGTTATTTGATAACATTTGTTTTTGAATGCGAGACCAGGCAATACCTTCTCATGTACTTTTAACTTACAAATATACTCACAATTTAATCCAAACGTTTTGCTAAAACAAGACAGCTGTAAGGTTTTCTACCAGTATGTTTTATTTCATCTCTTTTTAATCAATTGTTTGATACTTGTCATTTTCCACAATCTATATAACTGTAAATGTACATCCTGGTGTGTGTTCTTTGATGTATTTGTAATTCTTCAGAAAGGATATTAAATTGTTCAAAAAGATTTAGAGGAGGGAACTAGGATGATGCCTGGGATGGAAATGCCATCATATGAGGATTGGTCAAACCCTCTGAACTTGTTTTCACTTGAAAAAAGAAAAAAATAAAGATCTGATTCAGGTTTACAAGATTGTTAAAGGAACTGATTGTGTTGAAGCATCATCACTTTTCGTATTTAATGGTGAGAATGCAAAGACTAAAGGACAGAAATATAAATTTCAGTAGTCATCTTCAGCTCTATTTTTCTAAAAAGCAAGTTGGACTTTGGAACATGTTGCCTTCAGATGTGGTGGATGCTGTTAATTTAAAGGTGTTTAACCCTTCTACTACAGGTGGGTAGATTCCAGCCCAGATATCCCAAAATAATCATAAAGTAGTTATACTGTAACTTTGTTAAATGTATACGTATCTTCATGAAATTTGGCAGATTATCTGCAACATTATAAGGCAATCATACACTAAATATCAGGTTTTTTAAATTATGTTTTAGGATTTATTAATAAGTTTCACGTGCATTTTTTCTTTTTGAAAGTTGACTATCCAGCATGCAAAGTAATTTTGATTTTAAAATTAAAAATACTTTATGCATCAGAACATTGTCAAATTTTACATGCGAAATCTTTATAACCTCCAGATAATTATCAAACATTTCTTTTAGAAACAAATTTATATTTTATCTGTTATTTTCACTATTGTATCACTATATAAGTTTGGTCAACTTGATGGACCTTTTAACCAATATAAACAATTAAGAAATAAATATCAATTATGCCTTTTTCATTCTAGAATGACTACAAATTATAACACAAAACCACAACTGTTTAGTCTCAATAGCTTAAATCTCAAAACATATATATTTATTTTACTGACTTTTCAGAAGTGTCTGACTAACATTACAAAAGTTGCAATGACGTGGTACATATGAACTCATGTTACCATATCCAGTAATATAAAACTGGCCTTTATGAAGTGATCTGTCTTGGCTTTATTCCAGTGGACCAGTATTTTGTAAAATACAGGCACATTACGGTTATAATATATTATGTGTGTGTATATATATAATTACTATTTACAAATAAGTTATTAAATGTCAGTTATTTTTCTTAAGACATGGAACAGTAAATAAAGCAATATTGAAAACAATTATCTCTTCTAGTTACAAACTTTGTACTGGTTTGCTGCTTGCCATAATTGGCTAAGCCTTGTCAAATTTTGCATGTGGAGGATGTAAAACAAAATATTTTAAGGTTTTTATATATGCATTTTTAAATAACAAAAATCATAAATTACTATATCAAAAGCACAGAATTACACTATAATTTATCAGGCTGTAACTAAGCTGTATTTGGATCTAAAAAAATATAGATTTTTCGAGCTCATTATTCTCCTACCTTACCGCTTCGATCCCATCATGAAAAAAAAAGGGTTCCCCCACTTAAACACTTTGCAAAGGCTGAGAAATCTACGTGGAGGACATTCTGAGCTTTTTTAGCTTGTCAATAATGGTAATTTGAGTTTCTAATTCATAAGAAACTATAGACTTCATATTTGGACATCACAAACATCTAATTTCAACCAAAGCTGTATTCAACATACATCATACACAAAAATCAATATTTAGTTGTTTTTTAATTATTTACTTATAAATTAAGAAATTATTTAATGTATAATACTATAAATGGAATTATAATCTACAATATGATACCAAACTTACTGTCATACATTCATAAAATAGTAGTGCAATAAGATTTTGAATGTAAGTCTACAAACATGAAGGCTTACCATAGAAATACCCATCAGACCTATTTTGATACATATTTTAATGATGAGAACTACTGCTGAGTTTTTTCTGAAGGTTTAACTTATTTTAATAAACAGAACAGCCCAGATGGAACAAGTGGTTCCTTGTTGACCCTTAATGTTATATTATATGTTACAAAGATAAACAATACATTATCTGTTATCAAAACCCAATTTTTAACATTGTAAGCCCACAGACTTACTGCTGAAGTATGGGTAAGGCGGAGCTTACACAAATGTACCATTTCTCCCCAGTGTGTATTTTCTGAGGTATTCTTATGCAATAATTACTTACAATTATTTTTCACAACTGTAAAGCACCTATGCAGTGTGTACCCTTTTTATGTCTTTTCAATTCACCATTTGTTAAAAATGTTTTCCACAATCTGTACAATTATATGGCTTATCCCCTGTGTGTATTCTTTGATATATTTTTAATTCACTGTTTGTTCAGAAATGTTTTCCACAATCTGTTCAACTATATGGGTTCTCGTCTATGTGTCTTCTTTGATGTGGTTTTATTGCACTATTAGTTCCAATCTGTTTTCCACACACTATACAAGTGAATAATTTCTCTCTCCAGCGCATTCTGTTGTTTTTTAAATCACCATTTCTTCCAAACTCTTTGACACACTGTACAACTGTAAGATTTCTCCAGAGTGTATACTCTTTGATGGTGTTTTAAGTTCTAGTTTGATTTAAGTTGTTTAGCACATACTCTACAACTGTAAGGGTCTCCCAAGTGTGTATTGTTTGATGTATTTTTAAGGTACTTTTTGTACCAAACTGTTTTCCACATAATGTACAACTGTATGGTTTCTCCCCAATGTGTATCCTTCGATGTGTTTTTAAGATAGTATTTCTATCAAAGTGTTTTCCATAAACAGCACAATGATATGGTTCCTCTCCAGAGTGTATCCTTTTTTGTTGTTTTGCGTTATCAAATGTTTTTTCACAACTGGATAGTTTATTATGACACTGGTGTATATTAGAAGATTTTAGGTTATTTCCACTTAACTTTGTTTCTCCACAAATATTGTTGTTTGGGGATTTCATGTCTTCTGTAAAGTGATCTTCTTGTTTCATAACACAACAACAAGGAAACTGACTCTGACAACAGATGTTCACACTGGTCTTTATATCTAAAATAATAAATATATATCATGTATTACTTTATTTGATGAACATCTAAACATATTTTAATGTTCTAATATGATGAAGAGGAATATCATTATTAAGATATTAAAGCTATAGCTAATTATGATGAAGTTTTCATAGTTTCAAACTTTTCTACATAGATCAGAATAGCATTGAAAACAAAGTGTTGGTAACATGCCACATACAAGAGAAGTTTTTAGTAGATAAAGTCTAAAATCACCTGTGGAAATAAGATTGGACAGTGTTACAACAACTAATGTTACTTTCAGACAGTACCTTTCTGGATTAACTGTTAGGGATATTTTCTAACTTAAAGTGGTTAATTATCATGATATTTTCTAATGATTTGTCTACCTTAACAAGTTAATTAACACCAATACTTAATAGTTCCTGTTCAAAAGTTCTATATATGTGTAAAATAAATATTTATAAATGTCATGATTTAGATTAAACTAAAATGTTTATACACTGGATGCCACTTATTGTGATTACTTTGGGACACAGTTGCATTGATAACAATAACCAAATGAAATAAAACTTCAACAATTACAGTAATGTTTATTGATATAGAGTAGCAAACATATTACCTAAAAGTTTGAAAGCTGGATTTTTACATTTATTGACATATTTAAAAACAATTAAAGAAAGGAAAAACATTTAAAACAAGAATTAGAAAAATTCATTCAAAGCTGACTGTCTACTATTTTTTCAGAATAATTTATTAATAAAACTTTCATATTCATACTGTTTATGAAACTCTCCTGATCTGTGCTGTATGCTGCTTTCTGCCACATCATTGGTCCATTTACGCGAGCTTCTTGTTCATGAACATTAATAAACCAAAGTTTTAATGATGATTTGACCTGGTCATCTTTTTCACTGCACTTTCTCTTACAGTTTAGGTTTTCATTCTATTTTGCTCTTCTCTTGGATAGGAAATTTTTAATTGCACTGCTGTATTACATTGACCCATTTTTGGTAACTTATCATAGTGTTCTAAAATGGCAATTTTTCTTTAAGGCTTAGATCTTTACATTTCTCATACACTTCTTCCATTATTAAAAGAGGGTTAACAAAAATTGACATTTTTGGGAACACTGTCTTTCACAAAGGAATGAAAACAACTGTACTGTAATTATGGAAAGGAAATGCAAGTGTGTAGGGGATTTTAATAACAACTTAGCCACACCCTATTCTATAGTGAACCTTCCTCAGATCACTTGACCTAGAGATGGTTAAGTTGATTAAAAGTAATAACAAAAAACAAAGTGCTGATTACAATAAACAATGTTTTTCCTATGTATTTTTATACATTTGGTTAATTCTGATAACATTATACAAATGATAACGTTATCCATGATCACAATAAGTAGCATCCGGTGTATATATTATCTATGAAGTTTAGGTATCATTCCTCTGATTAGAAGCTGTTTGATTACTGGCTTTAACATGCTAAATTAAAGAGATTGAAGATTTAGGATTATTCAAGTCTCAGATTTTATAGAGCTGGTAGTGTTCAGCAAATCACATCTATGGAAATAAATGACAGCATTACATTATCTGAACATGTTGAAACATTAATCTACAGAAATGGGTTCTAATCATTATTTACAAAGTTTATACATGAAGTTAACATTTTCTAACACTGAAAATGTATTTCTAATAGGTACTTTACCTCCACTCACCCAAAGCTATCTTGACCTTAATTTGTCCTCTAAGCATTGCTAAAATTTTCAACAGTGCACCAGTCTATTATGCCTTTTCATTTTTGTGCCATTGCAACATGTGCCAATCATGTGACTACCCTCCACTAAACATACTGCGCCATCTATACTGGCACAGGTAGCTCCCTCTTCCACTTCAGCACAATGCTCACTTTCAAGAATTGGCAGATAGAAACCAGAAACACTGGCAAAGGTGGAGGGGGCTGGTGAAAGTACAAAAGTAGTCAAACAAGTGGAGAACAACCTCCATGAAAGAACAGGTGTGCCACAATTATAAAAGTAGGCACACCTGTGGGTAATAGCACTACTTCTGGAATGAAAAAAGTAAGACACATAGGATGGAATTTAATAGACAGGCACCACGTCATGTAAGATAGATTGCACCTGTGGACAACAGATAGTACGTAAGATGTCAACAAATGTAACAATCAGGAGCACGTGACACAATGATAGTTGGATTTCAATAAGGTGCCTGTAATCTGATATAAGAATATGTGGCTAGAGCTAAAGGACCATAAATGAATGGGCCAATTGGGCAGAAAACATCCAGTAAAAGAGCCTTGGGATACAACAGATTATGCCAAGTGCAGTCCATGGGCAAAACAACAAGTGCTTGGCATAAGTTTATAAGATCAACAAGTGTAGTCCAACTAGGCACAAAACATCCAGAGGAAGTGCCTTGCATTAAATGTTTCATGGTATATTGTAACAGAATGAGAGATCAACAAGTGTGGTCCACCCAGGCAAAAAACATCTGGTGGGCAGTGCCTTGTGATAAGTGGTAGTATGACAAGTGTGGTCCATCCAGACAGTAAACATCCAGTGGAAGTGCTTTGCATAAGATTGTTTTCATATCTTGTACGAAAAGTATTGAGAGAACAACAAGTGTGGTCCACCTGGGAAAACATCCAGGGGAAGTGCCTTGTGTTAGTATTGAGTATGGTAAGTGCTGTCCATCCAGACAGAAAACATCTAGTGGAAGCACCTTGCATAGATAGTGTACGTCATGATCAACAAGTGTGGCCAACCAGGGCAAAAGACATCCAAGAGAAGCACCTTGGATTAAGAATATTATGGTAGTGTATAATATTAAATATAGTGCCAACCAGGGCAAAAGACATCCGAGAGAAGCACCTTGGATTAAGAATATTATGGTAGTGTATAATATTAAATATAGTGACAGTAGCCCTCTTCTCACAGAGTGGGTACATATGACTAGGATGTTATAATTACTGTACAAATCCCACTCATGAGGAAACCTCCACAGTCCACCACTCCAGTAACTGGGAACTGGAAGTGGCAAGGACCACCTTGTTCCATTAGGAGACAGTACAATGAGCATCTGCATTTCCCTTTTTTGAGTAGTGGAAAGACTGTGATTGTAAGAATCACAGGTCAGTAGGGATGTGCAAAAATGCCTATCTGCTTTACTCACAGAGCCCATAAGAGATGGTCCTTCATATATGATCCAGTGATAATAAAAAAGTATATACAGATAGATAGATACACACCACCAGATAAGCAGCCAGTGGTCTTACAGAAATACCCATCTCCACTGTGAGTGTTATAGAAGTAAACAGATTTAGTGCTAAGATATAAAATTCAGCATACCTGACCAGGCAACACCCACCACCAGGTGGGATCCTGAAATATGATATATATTAAAGAAATAAGATAAAGAATAATAATATGTCAACTTACTCCAGGCAAAGGCAAACAGACATGTAGAATTGCCTCAGGAGAAAGATGATACCCACCCAAGGAAGATGCAGCTATGTTGTGCATAGAATGAGCAACAAATGTATTGAGAGTTGTCCACATACCAGCTTGAACTATCTCCTCCAAAAGATGGCAGTTTTGAGCAGCTAAAGAATTAATTAGATGACAATTTTGGTAGGAAGAAATATTATGTAGATGGCAACTTGCCATGGACATGTCAAAATACCCCAGTCATATGAGTTAACAAACCAAACCAGTGAGTGTAATAGGTGAAAGATCATGGGAAATAGAGAAATGCCATGGAACAATGAGACAGGAACGAGAACAATGAAAGGAGGCAATATGAGCCAAATAACATAGCAGGGAACGAACTGGACAAAGTAGATGATCTGGATCCGAACATGAATACGGGTGGGAAAAGGAAGGTAAGGAAAAAAGTAGAAAAAGGAAAACAACCTTCCCGGGAAGAATTGGAGAATTTCATTTTATAAATGTTTTGTTTTGATATATAAGTTAGTTGGGTTTTTAATTTCTTGATGACCTAAAAGTAAAGAAAAAAAAAATTACAAAGTAAATAACATTAACAGTGAAAAAAAGTAAAAATTTATACAAAAATAAAGGAATAAACAAACTCCAAACATAAGTTTAAACTAATCTAAATGGTAACACAAGTATAAAAATCTAACTTACCCAACAGTGAGCAGAGAAGACATGAACAATCTAAATTATTGAGTGCACAAATTAGATCCATCCACACTAGCTCATAAACTCATTGAACATGGGTATACCTACAGGAAATAAGAAATACAAACTAAAAAACTTACCACAGATCTCCTGGGAAAAAGAACAATACCCAACCCAGCAGATTACGAGGAGGAAAAATATCAGGTGGAAAGTGTCATTGAAAGAAACTTTCCACACAGTAGGTCTATCCCTCTGCACAAAAATCGTAACTTGAAAGGAAAAAATCATCAGCCGAACGTAAGACATAAACTCCCCACAAACTAAAGCCTGTACTTTCCCAGCATACATCATCGACCATCACACCTGGGGACCAGTGTCAGAACCATTGTCTACTTCTGGCAGAGTGTTATCATCCACCATATTAAATCTTGAATTCATATGACCAAAGTAAAATTTGGAAAATGTAAAACATTTAAAAATATATGAGTAGAAACAATGGAAATCAAACACAAGAAGCTTGAAGTTGGAACTGATATAAATTTCTGATCAAGCACAATCAAAATTTTGTAGTCACATGGAGAAAGTTAAAATACATGTCTATACACTAGAATGCCAACTGAGAAAGTGAGGATTGTGCTGCAATGATAGAGGGAGCTACCTGCACCAGTATAGATGGTGCACTATGATCGGTAGAGAGTAGTCACATGATCAGCACATATTGCTGCGATGGGACAAAAATGAGGGGGGGGGTACAATAGACTGGTGTGCTGTTGAAAATTTTAGCAATGCTTAGAGGGAATCAAGGTCAAGATAGCTTTGGATGAGAAGTAGTACTGTTTCAGAAGAACCAGGAAGAT